GAATTCAAGTTCCAAAGTAATATATGATTAAACTCTGATTTGTTATTGTGGATTGGATATCGGATGCCAATACCTGATCGGCAGAATCTGTGGTGGATGCACCTGCATCTGATTAATTGTGTTACAGCAACCCATAAGTACCCACAAAACAATCCCCAACAGCGAGCATTTTTCACATTGCTCCTACTAGCCATGGGCTTTAAGTCTGAGCAGAAACATGAGCTCTGGGAACCTGCGAACAAAGGGAGGTTCGGAGAAGCCAGCTTTAGACGGAACTGTCGGTGTCATTTTGGCACAAATGGTCCCAATGCGTTGCAGTCGGTTCTGGAAGGTTGCAGTGACTTTCGGCAAGTTCCGTAACTGGCAGCTTTCACTGAAAGTGTTCCAATGTGTTCCTGTGGATTTGGGCTTCTTCTTCATGTCCTGCATTCCGGAACCTTTGTCCCGTGCCCGAGATCACCCCAAAGCGATGTTGGCTGAAGACCCCAATAGCCTTACGCTGTCTCCAAAGAAGAGTGTCAAAGAAATGCGATAAAGAATGGACTCCGTCAGTTCTTGATTGCCTCGCAGAAGTGGTCGTGGAGCTGTGGCAAGCTATCCTTCATTCGGCGCAAGCTGGCGAAGCTGTAGGCCAACATGAGCGGAAGATCATCTAGATAAAATCCTGGCAGGCCATGTCGCCATCAAAACACAGTAGCCACCTGTCACTGAATGAAACATGATGAAACCATGAAAACTCTTCACGTGTTCAGCATCAATCTGGCGTGGGCAAAAGCTGCCAAACGAGGGGCTTGTTAGCCGCTCCACTATGGGCAACACCTGGAAGGTCTACAGAGTCCACAGCCAGGTGCGGCACACACGCTTAGCAGAAGTCTACTGTACATACTGAACCAATTCTACCCTTCCAGCTTCACTGATATCAAATTTCCTGCAAGTCCGAAGCCGTTCATGAAGACCACGAAGGCTTGGTACGCATCAGCCACGTTGCCAAGAACCAGCAGAAGGACTCCGGCGATGTAGTTCATCCCCTGGCAGTATCCTGCGAGAGCCGAGTTGCAGTTGATGAGTGTATGAAACATCGTGACTCAGAGCCTGCCCTAGTTCGTGCTAACAAAACAATCAGAAAGTGAGAACTTCAGCATCATCAGGGTGCTGGAGTTGAATGAATGCTGATTCTAAGGATCCCTATTGAGATGGCTTTCCTACTAGTATGTTTTATGCCAAACTTGAGCGGGCTGCCAGCCTATCTGAGGTTCATGGTACGCGTAGGAGCGCAAGATTTGTTCCATTTTCTGTTGCTTTGGAAGATCGAAGTGAGGAATCTCTGGGAATGTCCTGGAGCGAAGACTCAAATGGAAACCGCGAAGACTCGCGAATCGCAGTGTTTGAGGCCATCCCGTCCTCTGCATTTGAGGACCTCCCACTCAACACAGGTCACACGAGTCTCCTCGGCAGGTCGAGCTCAATCTGCCGCGAGACTTTGGGATCCAGCTCAACGTCAGAAAGTGGTGGGAAGTCCTGGGTGCGCTGCACAAAGAAACTGTTCAACAGTTGCACAGAAAAAACGGTCAGGTCAGGAGTAAAGACCTGTGGTTGTCAAACAAAAAGTTCTCTTCGTGGCAACGATATGCTGGGAACATGTCGCGCGCCTCATTCGCATTCGTGAGGGGGAACTATAGTCATATTTTGGACCGATCGCCATGCAAGTGATGGACTGCTTTTGGTGTCGTGGCATGCATACGCATGCCAAACAGGGTGGAATTTCTGGTTGTATTTCTGCTTCCTACAGTTGAGCAAACCTTCTGTTGAATAGATGACCCTCCGGCCTTGACAAAAAACCTACTACAGTTACGCGGGATGGCACTAGTCTTGTCGCTGTTTGTGGGGTTAGCAGGGAGCATGTGTTGATCTTTTTTTACCTAGAACTGAGTACTTGCAAGACTACTTGCTTTCAAGAGTGCACATACAACATCGAGCACGATGGGGCCCCGGACACAAAGACGGTCATTGCGCAGGCAACTCATCTTGGTCTTCTCCCCGCGTGCCTTGCTGGAGCTCCACCCTTGCATTGATTTCTATATATATACCGTACTCTACAGTATATGATATATAACTTCCTGAGAGTTCGGCGTATTGAATCACAATCTAGAATCTAGGGGTCAAGTCCAGCAGAGCGTAAAGTGATTGCTGTCACATGAGCTCTCCAAGTCTAAGCAGCCCACTACCTGAGCATCAATTTCCGCAGCTCTGGCCCTCAGCAACGTGCGCCATACCTCAAAGCACGATGTTCAGCGCTTGCAAATGTTCGTTGACAGTGCCTCTGTCCATGTGCAATCCCAGGGCAACCGGATGAGTGTTTCCAGGTTTTGAAGCTCTTCAGTTCGGGGGTCCTGTTCGTTTCTCCGAGAGGCCGAGCCCATGTTGAGGGCAAACCTCCGTGTTCTCTGTTCGGAAAAGTCCCTCCCCTGCGCCATGGCCCAAGAGCCACTCCAAACCCCTCCTGCCTCAGAGCGAAGGCTCTCCGGGACCCCCTTCAATACCAGATGCAAGAATTCGCTGGGCTTCTCTTCCTGCAGCGAACAGCTATCAGCATGGGTGGCAAGTGGAATGACGTGAAAAAACCATGGTGGTTCCGGGCTGAGCCAAACATGCATGAGCCGATGGCATGATGGTCAAAAGGAGTTGCGAAGCCCGTTCCAGTTCCAAAGGACCCTGAATAGACTCGACCCGACTGTTCACGACCGTTCTAAACAGGAGAGATCGCCACATCCTGTGTTTGCTACCATTGGCTCATGTGAAGCAGGTCGTAAAATACCTTTAGTCTACTCCGTCTACTCAAAGGATGCCGAAGGTTTCGGGGAGGTTCCGGGTGTCCACCCAAGGCCAGAAGAATACACTCTGCAGACTGAGCACTCGATTTCCTGGGGTTGGAATCCACTCACGTTCATGCTGTCCTTGAAGTGTTGCAAGACGCCCTCAGACAAGAGGTTCTTCCAAAGCCCCTGGCGACGTCTGGGCTTCAAGGAAATGCATGTTATATCATATTGTATTTTGGAAATAGCTTCTGGAGCCACTGTGGCTCGACTAACAATCATACAAGCCCCCAACTTGCAACCTTCTGGCAGCCTCGGCATCAGGGTCATCTGCTGCCATGGCATCCAACCAATGTGTTTGTGTATTTTTGGTGTGCCTATGGCTCCAAGGCCATCATAGCCCATCTCAGCGTCCTTTGATCTTGGCTGGGAACATCTCAAAAGAAAACAACAAAAGCCGTGTTCAGCAAAGCCTGGCATTGGTTCCCAGGGATGTCTCTTGCAGTGGCATTAGGCGTGAAATTGGTCTGCAGCGCGTCTCGACCAGGCCCCAGGATTGTCTGGGACAAGAAAATGAAACCTAGCTGCTCGACTGCTCGATTGGAAATATGCCGTTCCTCCTCAATCATGTGAACTTGCTTCTTTGTTAACTAAGTGGTTTTAAGTTCTAAGTATGATAAATGAAACTGTCCGAGCCAGGGCCATGTCCGACACTGATCCTTTCGAGCACTGATGTCCTGTCAACTGACTATGATCCACTACAATCACGTGTCTCGTCATAGACCAAGTCCTTTCAGATTTGGCTGTTCTAGAACTAGAGTTCCACCCATGCCCAAACTCGAGGGATGGTCATGATCTGTTTTGTGGGTCTGTAAGGTTCCCTGTAGCCTGTGATGGTAGAAGGAACAAATGAGAAACATGTGTGCACGGAAAAATGTTGGCGTTTGAACACTCCAAAGAAGCCCGTCTGGATACTGAGGGCCCAGCATACCACTAGGCAGAACAGCTGGCATGGACAGCCTGCGGCTCCTGGGCGACACACGAAAACAGCTACTTCAGTATGTAGGTCTTTTCATGTCCGAAAAGATCCAGAGATGAGATCATCCTTCATCTACCACCACCCGACGTGAAACGGGGAGATCCATTCTTGAGCCACGCCGGCTCCATAAGCCTCGTTTGAGACTGGAAGTATGGTTCGGACGGCCAAAGCATTCAATGGCACTGAAAGGCTTCCCATTTTTAGCCCACTGAATCTTAAATTGGAACCAAAGTTTGAATGGTTGAAGTTCGTCATCCCTTCTGTTGAATCAAAACACGAAGACCCTGAAGCACTTCCATCCTCAAAACCTCCGCTTTATATATATCAACTCAAAACACCGTTGCCAGCTTGAGTAGTTGAGAGCATGCAGGTGAGTTTGTGCTTCATGATGTCTTGCCTCCAAAAAGCAGCACCTTCCAAGTTTGATCTGTGGCTCCATTGCCCCCTCACCCAGCTTCGGAAACCCGGGAACTCGAGGATTTTCCAGAAACCCCTGTGAAATGGTGGCATGAGTACGCGAAAGAAAGAAACCACACGTGTGGAATCCCCCCCTGTCGAACAGCAACCTTTCAGTGGCCTAGACGTGCCACTGACGCTGCGACATGCCCCATCCTGCTTGAAACCAAGTCGCGTGGATCGCCTGGGCGTTGCCATCGAGGGCTCCAATGAAGGGATGCTTGCCATGGCGGTTCGGGAGTCCGGGCAGTGGCGGTAGGTCGGTGATGGATCGGGGGAACGTAGAAAGCAGATCCAGTGACTCCAGGATTCACTCCATCATCATTTGGTTGGAGAATGAATCATCTGGTGAATTATTGAAGATCCGTGGCCAGCTGACCCACGGTGATTCGCTGAATTCTTTTGGAGGACAAACCTGTGGCCAGTGTCTGGAGCCAAGCACTGTGCAGCCACATGTGTAAGAGATAGAGATCAAGATCTTGCCTGTGTCACTGGCAAAGATGCTCCTCACATTCTCGCAACAGCGCTCCATCATAATTTTGCAAAAAACACATTGGGTTTGTTGCAATCAAATATAATCTCACCAGCTACATTCTGTGTCGCTTCAAAATAATTCAAAAAAAAACATGCGCTTGATCAAGCCAACACGGCGTGAGCATGCTCGAGTCGAGTCTACCGCGGTCTTCGGACACCTGGACTGGCGCCAGGATTCCAAGTGCCATGGCTGTACGGCAACGCATGGCTAGTGCCCCGAAGGTCACCGACTGAAAAACGAAGCTGGACACTGCGTGGTCGTTCGGAACTGCGTGGTCAGTTTCTAGACTTCTTGAAATCAGGTCCCGCAGCGCATCTGCGTGCATCTACACTTCTCGGTTGGCTTGACAGGTCTGGAGCCACGAAAAAAGCATCGGCTCAATGGATCCAAAAAGACACCAAGCACACACTCCTTGTTGTAATCCTTCTTCAGCCTCCAAAGCCCAACAAGCAAACCGCAGATTTGAGGGTCCAATGACCAAGGGATCTCTGTTTTGCCAACTGCTAAGGCAGGGCCTCGTTTGAAGCCCCGAGTCACCAACAACTAAGTCTGCTCAGCAATCTCTGCAGGTGCAAAGCAGTTTGACCTGTGAGGAGCCGAGGCCAAATGCCCAATGTGGCATGAACGGAGTTCAGGAATGCTGCGACCACTTTCCCTGCCTCTCAGTGCATTCCTGACAAGAAAAGGAAGGACACGTTTGTCCGTTTCTGATTTTAGCAACATCCCAACCTGTGAAACGGTGTCAAAAAATGTGCGTCTCCAAACTCCAAAAGGCGAATCAATGTGCGTCAGTTGTCAAGTCCACGAAGAAAGTGGTTTCTCCACGCGTCTGACGTGGCGGTTCCAAACCTTTTTCTTTCTATGCGAATTGGCAACTAGATCTATGTGCTGAATGTGGTTTAAATTGTTCAAGAAGAGATTGCCGGCAAATCCACTGCAATCTGAGTCTCCTCATTGGATTTCAGCATACCTTGGTGGCAACACACCGAGCACAGAGTGCTTTCGGCAAAACGTCGTCAGGAGCATCAAGCTCTCTGTCGCCCCCAATCCGGAATCTCTCAAAACCAGGTGGTTGATCCACCGGAGAAAGGCCCCGATAGACCCATGATCACTGATCAATTGAGACTTATTGCAGTTGGAACGACACTTCCTCGTTCAATCAACCTTGTAAAGCTCTTCTGAAATGGTGACGACACATATCAGACCTGTGCTAAGCTGCACCTCCACCTCGAACCCCTGTAACGGAAACTGTTTCTGCATCGAGGTTCAGAGTACACCATTTCCATCCTCATCAACCACGTAGGCGTCTTGGCAAGATTCGATGGGCACCTAGCAGAATTTGACTCTGCCAGGCCTTGGAGCCTGAGACAACTTGAGACATCCGATTAGGCATCTGATTTATCACAAGCTGGTTCCGGAAGAGGTTCCACCCGCGAATGTGTATCCTCTTGATTTTGTTGACAAAATGGTTCTTGTTTTGGTCCCATGCATCTCCCCTTTGGACTCCACGAATCCAACGTGTCGGCGGCGACAGCGCTTCTAGTTGCCTGGACACAACTCGAGACCTCTGGGACCCTCCGTCCCCAGCACTCAATGTAGCCTGAGCTGGGCCGAATCAATTTCTCGACCGCGCTGGCGGATCAGTTTTGTGGTCTTTCTTTGTCTGGTAGAAGACTCTCAAGAAAGTGTCTTCAGCTGCACATGGATCGGAGACAGCACGGCTCAAAGTCAAAGGTACGAACGGTGCTCCTGGCTTTATTACTAGGAACAAGGTTCGCTACGAACGTAACAACAAACAAAACGAAGCAGTAGAACTCCGATTAACGTAGCATTCTGACTATCAGTATGTCATGATATGTCTGTGGGTAAAAACCAGGAGACCGACCGGTTGACCTACCGACCGCTCCAGGTTGAACGACCCATCTTATCTCACGTCACATTTAGCTGGATCTTTTTACATGTAAACGAAGAGTCCTCTGAGTCAAGTTTCCAAAAACTTTCTTAGGAACCAAATCATTCGAGCGATTCTTCAAGGAAAGCTCCCCCCGCCGCCTTCAGCAAGGGGCGCCCCTGACTTAATTAAGGGGTGGCGCCGACTCATCGGCGGCTGCCCTTCCCACGTCTGCGTCTGCGATCGGTTGCTCCGGCATAGATTAGATGAGCCACATGTGCTGCCTGCTGCGCATGTCCCAGCTGCAGTCAGCCTGCGCAAGCTTGCTGCTTGTGGTGATACATGTATGTGCGTCTGTGAATCTACGGTAGTTGGAAGTCAGCGACTCGGGCATACAAGCATTTGATTGCAACAAAATGTGTAAACACCATGCAGCTTTTAGGTGGCAGCGACCGCGAGGTTTTCTACAATCGATTGGTCACTTGGAACATCAAAGTTGACATGGTCATGGTCTGCGGCTGCTGCCGCAGCTGCTGCTGCTGCTTCTTCCTCTTCTGGGACAGATGAGCAGCAATTCTGTGTATCTAATGAATATACTGTCTGAGGCTGTCGACTCAGGTTCCACAGTTCTCTTTTTTTGTCGAATCTCCCAGCTGTGAACGCCAGCTTGGCGCCCAAGCTCACATCGTCGAAAGGTACCTCGCAAAGCTCCAAAGAAAGCTTGCGCAACTGGAGTTCTCCAGGACTTTCGTCTCAGCTCTTACTAGTCCTTGGTAAGAATGCTGATTGAAACGCAAAGGCTGGCAAAGAGTGTCAAACAATGAGGTTCCTTGATGGCAAAGCTCTTTCAGAAGCTCTGCATGCTGCTCCCCATTTGGCACCTCTTTGCGGGCATGTGTGGAAGATCTTCGCGCAGCTCTCGGCCAAGGGGCATGGATCATCACCAGCCTCCTCAAAATCGCAGGTCACTGAAATTGGATGAAAATTCCAACCCCAACACTTGGATGTGTTGTTGTCAAGGTCCTGTGAAAAATCCAAGGTCCCCTTCCACAACCCAACACTCCCCTCTCTAAAGGATCTCCTTTGTACAACTCAGCATAGTTCCTTGGCATTCCTCAGTGGCTTCGAACTTGACTCGGGAGGAGACGTGTTTTTTTGAACCGAGGCATCCTAGTTGATCAGGGCAGAGCCAACACAAAAAGCCATCTACAAAAAAATAAGCGGTGTCGGTCACCTGTAAATGTCCAGGAACACCAAACTACTGAAAATGGTCAGATCTGGATCCAACTTATTGTTAGGATCACCAACCAATCAGCTGTCGCACGAACCGAAAATTGGTCAATTGCCGGGTTTGCTGCCGAGTTGCTGGCACCTTTCGGGCACGGACCTCATCCAAACAATTCGACAAAAAGTAGACCTGCTCCATCTCTGTGAGCATCTCCGAAGAAGGAAGAATCTCCCATTCTGATGGTGCCTATTCTTGGAGATGCCAGTTCTTCCAACAACACAAACGTCAATCTCCACAGCTCTCCGATCGAACTCAATGTTGAGCTGGCTGTCTCTCTTAAGGCCCCTTCCAAGAACACGGATGCAGCAATAGCAACCTGCAAGACAGGGATTCAACCAAACAAGTCCAGCATCCAAGTCTTCAAAACCACTTGCTTGCTAGCATGTTTTCCCACCAAATTGTCCATGCCCGCTTGTTTGTCATACACATCACATTCGATGGTCTCACATCAAGCTTGCAAACTCTTTCAGTGCACTAGTGCTGATGAGTGATCTACATTAACCCGTGTGCATCCATACGCACTCCATCTGCTAACGCTTGCCCATGCTTGCCCGTGCTGGCGAGAAAAGCTCCATCGTCCCCTGCTCCATCACCCTGGCTCAACGCCTGCACTGGCCACATCTGCCGCCCATGAAAAGCGTCCACAGCTTCGGCGACGCGCCGCAAGAAGCCTTCATCCAAGAGGACAGGAGTTCACAATTTCAATCGACATGTATGTTACAGTATTTGTATATATACACACACAACCATCCTGGAGTATAGAATACGAACCAATCCAAAAAACATATTGCTTTTCCCCCTATGTATATATATATATCTCATAAATATTATATATATATTACAAAAATTGTTTATATATCGTTTAACAAAAATATTTTCTTATAGAGATATATATAATATAAATATTAACTATATTTTTGTGTGTGTGATACAAACTCACCTACTATTGAGAAGCTGCTAATCTCAAAGTGACTTACAGTAACAGTCTGACTAATCCCAGCAAGGTATGCACCTCTCACCAAAACAGGACATACCTATTGAACCAATCCGGCATATGGTGCTCCACTTGCCATCGAACCGAAGTGAAGCTCCAGCTCTGTGGTCAAGTTCGCACTTCAGACACCTCCGGTTCGCATGAAGCTCTTCTGCCAGAGCTGAGGGGTCCACGACAGGCGAGTGTACAATGAAAGAAAAGTAGTAACGGACCACTCTCATAAGGCCCCTTTAAAGGAACCTCAGCTTGAATGTTTTCTTTCACCTATGTCGTCAGATCTCTCCTTTCGAGTTTGGCGGGACCAGTACGTCTGACCAGCTGCAATCGCTCCGTCGGCCTGTAGTTCGCAGGACAGAAACGTTGCTGTTGCTCAAGTCCAAAGGCGGCGGAAAGTAAAGATCAAAGCAAAGAGCTCTTAGTAGCAACACCATTTCAGCAAAATTGTATGACATGGCGTTCACCTACATCATTTGGAAGTGTTGTCAGTGCTCACCAAGGGTGTTGATGAAATGAGAGATAGAAAAAGGATCACCAAAAAAAACAGCCAGGACTCAGAACTGTGCTCGGTGCTTGTCCGAGTCCAGTCCGCTGACCCTTTTCGATTCGGCCGGGGGCCCTGGAAGGCAATGGCTGGAGATTTCATCACTGCCATTGCTCGAGTTCATTCCTGCCCCCCAACTTGGAGCTTTGGAGGGAGAACCAGGCGGTTCGTGCGCCAAAGGCACCCGTTTCGTTGGCTTTGTTGCAAGGGGCGCCTGTTCTGCCATCCAAAATTCCCATGACATTACCGACTTCTATGGTGAGACAAAGTCTGTGAGAACTATGCGAGCACCACGCTCACAGATCCAAGCACACTTCCAACCCAGGCCTAGCACAGGCCAAAGTCACAAAAACACATTGACACCTTTGCTGCATGTAGCTTCAGGAAGGGCAACCACAATATGAAGTCCTGTTGAACACCAAGCCCATTCGCTCTGCGTTTGGGACTTGGCGCATTTTAAACGCCAAGTACATCACGCCTACACCGGACACCGCCCCTTTGGGTGGTTGGCTTTGAGAGGCGCACCT